GAAGAAAGACTGCAAGAGCTGGGCCTGTTCAGCCTGGAGAAGAGAAGACTGAGAGGCGATCTCATCAACGTGTATAAGCATCTGAAGGGGGAGTGTCAAGAGGATGAGGCCAGTCCCTTCTCCGTGGTGCCCAGCAACAGGACAAGAGGCAATGGGCAGAAACTGAACCACAGGAAGTTCCACCTAAACCTGAGAAAAAACTTCTTCCCTGTGAGGGTGACAGAGCATTGGAACAGGTTGCCCAGAGAGGTAGTGGAGTCTCCTTCCCTGGAGATATTCAAAACCCGTCTGGATGTGATCCTGGGCAATATGCTCTAGAGGTCCCTGCTTGAGCAGGGAGGTTGGACTAGATGATCTCCAGAGGTCCCTTCCAACCTAAACAATTCTGTGATTCTGTGATTCTGTAAAGAAGTCCTCCATTCAATCCCCCATTCCAACCCCTTCTTTATAAACATCTCTACACTATTACATTGAAACTATTGTAAAAATATATGAATCCACATAGGAAACTGAATTACAGTCATAACTCTTAGTATCATCAGATTAAGAAATAAAAGGCAAAACTTGTTAAAAGTCACTGAGTCATGAAGAATTCTCCTTCTTAAAAACTGGGCCAGAGCATCCCAATATTTATACTGAATTATTTAATCATTAGTCAAGTTCTAATGTTTAAATGCTCCTCCCGCTTTTAGTATAAATCCATCAAAGTCACTGGGATCAATGTTTGAGTCAATTAATCTCTGCAGTCCTTCCCTTGTAAGTGTTTTAATTGCACTAATGTGTAATCACATTAGTGACTGCAAAATTGAAGGCAGTATTACAGAACTCTTATAGTTTTAAGTACCTTGGCGAACAAAGAAAAAGAATGCTGTCTGCTTCTGGCAAGTAGATCATTTGACCTTTCAGGCGTAAGCAGCTGATTTCTGTGCCAGTCAGTTCATCCTCACACTCCAGCTTTTCTACATCCAGCAGCCCTTCCTGGTAATGAAAATGTCACAATCACTATATAAGGCTAATGGTATGTGTATTACTCATCAGGCCATGCATGCAAATGCCTTCATTATGAGCACAGTCAGAATGTTGGAACAGAGTTACAAAGCACAATCTACATTAATAAAACAATTAATTTATCATTAACTTTATCATTAACCACTTTACCCTTATTTTATTGTGACTTGCTATCTCAGGCAGTATCATATCTTTCTTCACCTTCATGTTCACTACCTCCTGTTTTCTCCTGTGTGATTTCATTACAACAGTTTGACAATAGGATTGCCTGTTCTGTGACGTTCTAACTGTGATGGGGAATATCTCTGAGAAACTTTGTTGGTCTCTCTCAGGTACAGTTTTCTATAAATAAATAGCTGTCTACATGGTAGGCACTACTCTACATGCTGCACTGGTTTATACTGCCCGCCTCCTCTCCTCCCTCTCTAAGGAAAAGCACAAAGAAATGTGTATGAACGTATGGGCCCAAGCAATGATACATTTCATATTTATCTCCCATATTGTTATGAAGGACAAGAAAGTGCAATTTTTACGTTTACTTCAGTACAACGTCATATAAGAGGGTAGCCCTTTACAGAGCTGATATGTGAAGTATATGCACTTCCCCATTCCTATAAAGCGTTCCACCTCACTGCTACACATGAATTCACATGAATACACATGAATTACTTTTTTGGACTAAAGACTCTAAACCCTCTAACTCTCCTCTAAAGGGATTGAGCTTACTACCATGCAAAGTATTTTCTCCGAACACTTCTGAGTTTGCGGCGCTTATTCTTATCTCTCCAAAGTATAGTTACTTATAGAAAAGCCAAGTGAATATTCTCTAGTTACCTTGGTCCTCAGTACAAAGACAGTATTGATATGTGAGAGGATCCCATGGAAACTAATATCAATATGAGGCCGAACCAAGGAGAAAACTGACAACAGACTGCAATTTCCGGGCTGCAGCTAAAATGTAAAAAATAAAACAGGAAATAAAGGATTTTTTTATATATATAATAAAAATATACATGGAGCACTTATATTCAATTTGCTTAGGTGACAATACTGAATAGAAGAAAACATGTAAATTATATATTTATCTATTAAAATATAAGATTTTTAAATTAAGGTTTTCACATCAGAAGTATATTGACTTCAAAGTACAATTCTAATCTGCAATGTGACATTACAAAATTGCATTGGACTGTTTCACGTTTTCTATCTGTCAAATCTCTTCCCATTTTACAGTAAAAAGAATAAAATTGCTTTTTAGTGTTTCCTTCTTCAAGGTCCTTCTCAAACTTCCCTTTCAATAACAAGCCATGTTCTCTTATGCATCATCTCTGATAATAAGGATTCTATGGCCGTTATCGATAAGCTAATAGTTAAGAGCTACTCAGCGAATCCCCCTAGAAAATGTCTTGTAGAGCTACTTACAAAGCTCTTCTTTCAAATCTTTCTGCAAAACCCAGAGAGAAAACTTGTAGAAAAAAATGTAAATAAAATTACCTTTTAAAATATCAGTGATTCAGGTGCAACATAGTAGGTTCAATATTAGCCTACATAATTTGAAAGATCATTTTATGTTTTCATCATCCTACTTCTGTTTCTCTTTTATTACTGCTTTTACCAGTTGCTTATTTTTAGAAGCACTCTGTCAGTTCCTCTGGACAAGAACTGAGGTATCCTATTAATATACAGAATTACGACACTAAGTACATCTCTGAGTGGACCTTCTACCAGAGGAAATTGCACCAGCTGCACTCAGAAACGTGGACAAGTATCACAATCAGAGTTTGGCTCATCTAATACTTTTGATGCACGAGCCAAAAGAGTACACAGCTTCTTCTGTTATGCTGCATCTGACAGTTCTGCAATGCTAAAAGGCCTTCAAATATTTGTTATTGTCAAGTAATCTATATAGACCAAGTAGCTGCTACTACAGTATGCAAGTAGTATGGGCAAGACCATTACCTGACCCCTGGGCAGGCTGATTTGCAGAATGTCTCTTGTCCACACTAGAGAGTTATCTGCCACTTTTATAGCATTAGCATACGTATCTTGGATTGGGCTAGTGGCAAGTCCAAAAAGACTCAAATACCAAGCTAACACTGGAGTTGTGTGAGTGATCAGGTATTCTCTGCTCAAGCTTATGCCTTGGTCTCTTTTACATCACGTTATGGACATACAAATGGATGTACGTGTTCATAGGGAACACAGCTGACGTAGAAAAGGGCTAGCTTTCATAGTCCTTTTTCAAACAAGAGCGCTATATAGCAAATATTATACATCTATATAGGAATGTTGTTTAGACAGAGAATTCTAAACCTATTTTATTAATCTATAAAATAAATCTGTTCACCACCTAGCATAAGGACCCTTGAGGACTATTCATGTATGAGAATCATCTAACCTGTGGAAGGACTCTGTATATAGCATTACCGCACTGCGTGACCACCAGATCTCTGTCAAATATTATATGGAAAGGAAAGGCCTTGCAGAAAGTATAGGGACTGATGCGAGATTCTTGGGTACCATTTTCTTCAAATCTGTCGAGGTCTTCATAGTAGTCCTCTTCTTTAGACTCTTTCTCTTCAATTAAAAATTGAATGTGGTCACATTCCTCATTTCTCTGTTGAATGACCTAGAAAAACAAGGGAAAAGATCAAAGACTGCAATCCCTGCTACTGAGTAATAACTGGAATGTTATTATGAAGACAGGAATACAGTCAAGTACAAAGACAAATTAAAACATGACATTTACATCTTGAAAAAAATCTGTACTCTAACAAGTATTTCTCATTTTAAAATATCTTTATAATTCCACAGGAATAATTATGCTTTTGCTTAGCCACAGTTGCTCTTTGCATGAAAAGCATATTGAAGATCACTCAAATTTGATACATAAAGTCTGAGATGTGCATCCTAGAACTGGGTGTTCAGGCTCAGGTTATGCTTACTTTTACTGGTATGTGCCAGAAAACAGGACCCCCCGCCCCACCCCGCACACACCTTTGAACAAACCTGCAGCAAGTCTTGAATTACACAAAACGCTTGAAACCTTATTTTGATGAAAGCTGTATGCAAGGTCAGTAGCACAACAGTAAATAGCACTGACAAGGGGGTGGGCATGTCATAGCCAGCCAGACGAGAGGCAGATGGAACAGAAGTCTGAATCTACAATCCTTATCAAAGATCAGGTCTAGTAGTTAAAATTAAAAGTAATTACAATATTCTTCCAGCTACATTCCATATTAAATGAAATTACAGTAAAACCAGAGTCATCTGCATCAGTGAAATCTCAAATAAATGCTTTGAATATAGCATTTCACTTCAGTGATTTTACTCAAAGTTAGTCAAAATAAAAAAAAAATTAATAGAGATCACTTTGCTTGCTAGGAGAGTCACGTATTACAGTATAATTAAAGCAAATACCTAATAAAATAACATAATTTACCTTGAGAGGCCAAATTCACCTCTTCTCAAGCCTAATTAGATTTAATGACTGGAACAGAACAATTCTATTTACACAGTATTGTTCAGCGGCAATTTTCTGGAACATGTTGCGCTTGATTCTACTTTCACATAGAGGCTAAGCCTAAAGTCACTGAAGCAGAAACCAACAAAACTAAAAAAAACAAACAAAAGCCACCCCAACATTTTCTGATTCTGATTCTGCCCTTTACATATAGTGTAACCACACAGATTAACAGCTGCAACATGAAAACAGAAGAACGTAGATGCATGCAAATACTGTAATGCAATCACTAAAATGTTTAGCTTATTGAACATTTCCCCTCTACGACTGTCCGTCATGCTAGCTGATGGGGCGGGGAAAATCAATACCTGTATTTGTTCCCATTTAAATACAGCGGTGTAGAGCAGCAAAACAATATTTTATTGCTAAAAGACGCTTAATTTAGGAAGAGAGTGCTCCTTGATCTCCTGTTTGACTAATCCTTTAAGGGAAAGACAGAGGCTTTTCTGCAAAGCAATTTGGAGCAGAAGCCCAATTCAGGGGCTCTACATCATGGGCTTGATTCTCTCTCTATTTCATCATATAAGCAACATGGAGAAAGATCAGCATACTAAAGCTGCCAGCTAATGTAGGTAAAGCTGAACATGCAAACAAGTTCAAGTATTAATGATGACGAAGACTACTTTCCTTAAAACCACAGTGGTAATCTGTGGCAGTGTGTGGCAAGAAGTGGGAAATTTTGAGTAATAAGAGGTAATCTGGAGGAGGAATATGTGGCAATCATTTGATGAAAACAAATGATCTAGGTTTACCTAGGAAAATGGAACTTAATAAATGCACCCCTAGTTTTCTTGTGAATTGAAAGCTTAAAAGTCCTCCATGTCTTCCTCTTCATTTACATCATTATCCTTGCAACGGTGAGAGACTAGCCATAGTGATGACTGGCAGAAGGTAGTTAGAATCTTAGCTTCTCTCACCCACACACATGCCCACAGGTTTGATTTTATTATTATTATTGCGGCCATGGATAGTTGAGATTATACACAGTAACTTTTTCCAAATTCTGGACAGTTATCAGTAGAATTGAGCTACGCTTCTAGATGATTTCCAGAGCTTTGGATCTCACTTCAAAGAGTCACTTTTGCCACAACTGGAAAAAAAAAATACTACTTTGGATGAAAGCTTCATCATTTGGTAAAACAGCCCTAAAATTCATTTAAAAAAATATATTTTTTTAAAGGAAACATCCACATTAACAGCACATCACTTTACAGCAGTATTACTAGTATGCCTAAACACCATACTAGTACTCTGCTACTATGCTGCACCTGTACTTACAGGTTTTCATGCTAGCATGCTGCATCCTTCATCACTTCCCACTTTTATTAGAAATTAATGATGCTTCAACGAACAGAACGCAGAAGTGTTAGTTTAAAAAGAAGCTATAAAACTAAACTGCTACATGCTTCAAGAAATGTCTAGCCAATGTTGGGACAGGACCTTCCACAGATACTGCAAGCTTTCATAGTGTTGAAGTCAGTCTGTCACATGGTGTGCTGTTTTGCTAGATTAGAAATGTGCCAGTAACAGTACAAAGCTGCAAGATTCCCAGCCATCTTCAAGTTCATTTGCAACACCATTTTTGATTAGACTCCAGGGCATCTAGAAATGCTCGTTATATTTGTGCATCGCATTAGTGCAGCAAATGCACAACAGGCCAAACACATGGAAATGTGTCAGATTTACAGGATAGCCACTGGGCCAACTGCATGCTCCTGGTAAACATGATATGCTGTGGATATGGCAGATTTATTGAATTTGGTTCAGGTCAACCTTGCAGAGACCCTTATTAATAGCAGCTATAATCATACCCTTCTCCAGGCGAAGTAACTGCCTACTGGCTATGTAATTTCATGATGTCTTTCCTGTTCACATTTTTTATATCCTAGGTAATCTACCTACCTCAAAAAGCTTGCAACCTCCTCTTTTCTGAGGCATCTGAGATATAGATAAAACTCCATCTTGCAAAAATTTGAGAGAGATCTTGGTTTTATCTTCTATCCTAGAAGATAAAACCCATTCTAAAAAAAGTAATGAGGTATTTCTCCTCCACAGAATAACATAGGCTTTCTGCAAATACCACATTCTCAGATACTGTTCTTCAGTTATACTCACAATCACAGTACCTAAATTCTTCATTTTTCCCTCAGTTCCTTGAGCTTTTTAACTTGTGAGTCAATTTAAAACTAATACTTCTGGCCATTAACATAACAGATAAAATTCTGTACTTTCACCCTTGTAAACACAGGTTCAGTCTAATTGGCCAGACACTGAGTTGGCATAAAGACGCTCTCAACAGTTTAGCCGAACTACTCTGGAGTAAATATAACTAGAAGAGAACCTGACAAATGAAAGTGCAGCGACAAAGGCAAGAATCACATCTAATTGCCTCCCTCTGTGGTCTTAGCTCATGACTGATATCAGCTCACCATGTCAAAGAGCTCAATCACCATAGTAACTGCAGTTAAAAAATTGAAGACAAATCACTCTCCTGGTTTCAAAGAGAATATATAATATCTAACTAGTTACCCGCCTGTGCTTTCCAGAGGATGCATCTTCAGATTTATCCTTGGTTATCCAAATGAGAAGTGTTGTCAATATTTCAGCGAGGGACAATTCAGACAATGTCCAATCCAGAGAATATCTATTTTAAAATGACTTAGCGTTTTAATATTTGATGAACCTCACACAATAAATAAATCAAGAGCTATCATTGTCGTCTACATACACAGCAGGCATAATGAACATACGCTATCTGTTAAACTGTCCCTGATGCACCTGCAACATGAGACAATCGTATAGCTGTGTCCCTGAGATATACTCACATCTCAATGCCAAGAGAGGGACAGAATATTTTTGGACCGGGATCTTTTTCCTTCATTTTGTGAAGACTAATACAAAGTTAGGTTTAAGCCATTTCAAGGATGAAATCCTTGGCTTCTTCAAGCAAAATTGGCTGTTTAATGCCATTTGATAAGTTTGCAGCTGTTTCAGGGTGGTCTTGAGCCAAAGCAGTTCCCTGTAGAAATGATTCTGTCTGTAGTTTTGCATACCCAAATTCAAAACTGCAGGGATGGTCCCACCTGGCAGCTGGTTTCAAGGCAGAGACTGTGCCACTGCACTGCACCTCTGAGCCTGGAGGTGGTGAATTTCTGACTGCCCTTGTGTCAGAATCAGAGGCCAATTATGATCCATGATTGCCTTACCTTAATATACAGCTACCCCTTTAATGTCTCGTTCACTATCACTTGGCCTCCATGATGACTGCCTAAGTAGTTTTTAGGTCATCTCTTCAGCTGGTCACATTCTAGCTTTGCTTTCTGATTGCCATTAGTAATTAGACAATCAGAAATTATCATCTTGTCAAAGATTTCCTATTGCCCTTTCTCATTTGATACTGTAAACCATCTTCCTTGCTTGTCTAAAAGGCAGATTTTGATAGCTTGCTCTCAGATAATAACAGAACTGCAGAAGCCTGTTTACCCAAAAGATTTTGGGGCTTTGTAGAATTTTACAACATTCTTCATTGTCCTCTCCCATTTGTAGCCCTGAGAGAAACTCTGCACTGACTTCACCTTCACAGGTCACCCACATTTATACACAGACACTGGTGACAAGTGAAGAAAGAGAAGGCACAGCCAGAAGGCTGCTAACAGAGATCTCATGCAAAAGCCGGTCACCAGCTGTGTGAACATTTTTAGCTTTCATATTGAGACTGGCAGAACTATTACTCTTAGCGTGTTTTCAAAGTCAGGAACAATTCTTAGGACAGTCTGAAAAACGGTATGTTCCTACCTCTATTTACCTAAAATGGATTAAAATAGCAGGAAAGATAAGGCAAATTGGAGTTGGACTAATTAGCTGATTAATTTCAACTTAGGCTTTCCTGAACTATTTAACTGAAACTGGGAACCCAAGTTCAATCCAAATTGCCTTCCTTTCGCTGCTAACACAGTTCAGAGACAAACTCAGAATTTTTTCATCCCTTCAGCATACACAAGGCCTAGGTCTGGAAAATGTGCCTTTTCTTTTTAAGGGACACCATTCTGGAGCAGGAAAGTCCTGCTGTAATTTACATAAACATTTCTGGGTGAAAATACAGAAAACTGAATAAACTACATTTTTTTAATTTAGCTATTTCTCCATTCAAAGAAACAATCTGGGACAAAACAAGAGCAACGTATTTTCTTAGTGTATGTTTCTGTCATACAATCATGAGATTCCTTAGGTTTTATTTTCATCTGGCAACTATTGGAAATGTCTGCAAATTCTATTGTTGTAGGAGCTCTGAAAAATAAACTAACTAGCACTGTGGTCCAAGTAATCCACGCAAACAGAATCTAATCACTTAATGAAAAAAAAATTATTATTGTAAAAGATTGAGTAAACTTTGCTACCAACTTCACAGACACTGATAATGTGTAAGACACCTTCAAGTAAAATTTGATGCAAATATAGACTTATGCAGACTCTCAAGTAGACCTATGTGAGTATGTGTTCTAAACAATTGGAGAAGAAGAGTGAGTAACAGAGTAATTAAATATCAAATTACAGATATTAACTTTACACTAACATAAAGAGAACTACAGAGATAGTTTAGTAAAACAGTTCCATGCTGGACTGCAATGTAATGGAAAAACTGAAGGCAAATGCTTTGAATAAATAGATCTGGGAGAACAACTAGGAATCTCAGCATTCTTCTTGCAAGTAGGAAGGCAACTCCCATAACAGCAACAGAAACACAAGCTAAGCACTGAGGCTCTTATCAGTTTCTAAAAACATCCTTCCTTAAGCAACATTCTAACTAAAGTTCAAAACAAAAACTTCATAGAAGAAGAGGCAACGGTTAGTCTGCAAAAATTTAGGGGATGAAAAGCAAACTCTTTTTTCTATGCTGTGCCATTTCAAACAATACATTACTAACAGTCTGAAATGGGAAAGCACTAATTTGCTAAATTAAGGAGCAAGGGATTGAGATGAAAGAAAGCTGTCTAATTCTTTTTTCCTGTTCTAATTTTTCTTAACAGCGTAAAACTAGTCAGGTACCACAACGGCAGACTTGATCATTTTGCTGGGGTTTTGAAATGCTCTCTCTACAAACATCAATGATTAATAGTTGACCTTTGGTGTAATGAAGGGAGACTTTCATTGTCTATGTGGATAAGCTGCAAATTTTGGCACTCTCACTTTACAGAAACAGAGTAGTTTTTTATTCCCTCCATATGTACCACTGCAGTCATTCAGAATCTATGGAGTAAAGTATTATTTAATGTCATTATAAGTGTTAAAAGTAAGGCTTTACTAACCAGCAGAGATGAGACAAAGTTCAGGGTTGAAGGCACAAAACAGCTTTATATTGCAGTTTTTCCTCCAGATCCAGAGGCTAACCGTGCCTTGGACCACACTCTGATGTTAGATACGCAGGGCCTGTTCCAGCGATCAATTAAATCTTTGTTGCTCTATACAGACACAAAGCAGGAGCCTCATTCCAGTTTCTCAAGTGACTTAGCACATATGGCTCTAGGTAAACTGAAAGACTTAGGGACATTTCTCTATTCCTGGGGCTGCAGGTGCATATCCTGCTGCATTTCCATTCCCTGATGATATGAGACCCACAAACACATCTTGGTTCCGGGAAGTAAAATCCAGCATGCAGACTGGAAGGAAACTACTGTGCCTCCAGCCAGGCCGCATCAGTGCACACCAGCCTCACCGTTTACACGCAGATGAAAAATCTAGGACAAACAAAATGTCCGTGTTCTCACAGAACACATAGTAGACATTAAGAAATATAGGCCAAATTTGAAAGAAAGTAGACAAAAAGTGCCCCAACAGCTCAGTACATAATTTCCGTACATGTTGTCTTCTTTGAATGATGGGATAGTGTCCTGAACTGCTCCTGATTAGGTCTATCTGCAAATTAGTGCTGGCCTTCTCAGTACATCTCAGTTAACCTGCCTCTAAAGCAACCCAAGTGATGGTGGCTCTTCCTGAGTCAATATTAAAGCAGTGCTTCACAGGGGGCACTGTGCTGGTACGAAAGTGATTCAGAGAAGCAATAAAATAAAGCAGTCCTCTCATTCTAGATTCTATAGTACTTTGTCCAAGAATGAGCTTTTCCGTCCCATTTTTCTGACTAAACTGTGGTTAACTTAAGGTCTAGCATCCTGCAGCTCTCTTAGTAGCTTGAATACCTGAAAACTTGAATACATACTACCCGGCTTGGGACTTCTGAGAATTTGTGTTACTCTGGGGACAGAAAGCAGACTTCAACCTGTTATATACAGCTATGGAGCTTCCACTAGTGCCAAGGGATATAGCTGGCATGGTAGCTTTAACATCATCCTATTTTTTCACAGCCAGAATTTGTTATGACTCAGATGAAGGTTGGTGATTACAGAACAGCGCTGTGAGGAAAGTGAGATGTCATGGTCTGCAGTTGATACACAGACTTGCTCCAAACCCTGGCAGATAGAGCCATGTAGAAAGAACAAAGGATACAGCAACAACGACAGTGACTGTCTGTCATCATTTGTTTTTCTTGATTTTGTCCTAATGATGTAAACTTTCAATGTGTACATGCCTTCATACCTTCATATCTATTTCTGTACCGTGGATCTGTTGAGCTACTGTTTTGATGATTCCAATCACAATATCCTGAAGACCTTCTCTTTCTGAATAGTAGTGCAGAATAAGTCCCTTCCCCTTCTCAGCATCAGTGCATCTAAAGGAAGGGGCTCGCATACCTGGGTAAATAGTAGCAAGGTGGTCATGCAGAGCATCCAAGTTCTAGAACAAGAAATTAAAAACATTATTATAAGATATTCACATACTAGTTTTAAAGAAAATAAGTGCATGTCATTTTTAATCTGGCCATCTCCTTTCTCACGCTGGATGCATTGTGCATTAGCTATGTTATTTCTAGAACTATCTTAATAGCAGCTCTTTCAGGTAGCTTGCGATGTTCTCTCTGCCTGCTGTACAAATATCTGAACAAAGAATGACAGCAAAAGTAGCACCCATAAAAATTACTCTAGACAGTAAGAACTCAGGCTTCACTATGCCGTTTTTCAAAACGCTCAGATGATTAAAGACTTCATACATGTTTCTCAATCCTGTTCATCATCCATTTTCCTTCCTTCCTAACTCTAGTCCTTTATAAACTTCTCTTTATAAGTGAATGCAGGTGTGAAATACAAATAACCATGTTTGAATAACCACAAATCTTTCCCCTTATTCTGAATGAAACAACAAGCTAGTTCTGACATCAAAACAGTCAATGCAAGCTCTGTAAGGCCTAACAAAGTTACAAATTTTGAAGTAAAGATTTAAATAATTAAAAGGCCAGGCTCAAATGCCTACTTTCTCTGAGAATAAGAGAAAAAATTCCCACAGATTTTTTTCCCCACAGAGCTGCTGTAAAAATGCTTCAGAAAAGGTTGTTCAAGAAAGGGAAAAAAGTCATTTTTTCCAACTGACATCCTAGACATTTATTTAACTTTAAATTGTGACAAAACAATTACTACTTGGAGAGGAAAGCTAAATGAGAAATTGATAGGCAGAATTTATGAAGAGGCTAAAGAGAATAGTGAGATCAAAATCACGCAATGCTAGCTCCAGCTTTGATTATGAAGTAATTACCATGGTTCCATGTTACTATTTACTGCATAATGTTTTAAGATAGAAAGTGCAATCTGCTTTGCTGAATAGTGTTGCAGCCTAAATAACCATTTACTTATGTTGTAAAATGTATGCAATTCCTTCACATCTTAAGTCCAAAACTTTACTACACATTTTAAACATTGTCCCCCACCCCCAAAGTCACTGTTAGCATCAGGTTTTGTGTATTGTTTTGGGCCAGTCCAAGAAGTCAAATGAAAACATTTTCAGTGTGCTAGCTGGGTCATTCTCCAACTTTCATGAGCATCTGTCGATCATCAGAGTTGTGGAAGCATGCTGAACTTGATTTCATGTGGGCTGTGAAGCATTCCAACAGCTGCCTTTTCTCTTGGGAGGCCTCCAGAGGAAATGAGGCTCTTATAAATGAATTCCGTAGGATGCACTCTGCCTGGAACATCCGCCTTCATTTTTTTCAGTTTGTTTCAAATTCATGTTTTTGTTGCTATATCAACACCTCTAAACTAAAACTTGAAAATGGAAGAGTTTGGGACTCAATTCGTCCCAGCTGTTAGTGGGCATTCAAGAGAAAAAAGTATAATGCTTGCAACCAAATTCTGGAAATCTTTGCAGGAGTCAAGACAATGAGGTTGAAAGAGAATGAAAGTGTGGATGAGAAGAGAAAAAGAAAAGAAAAAAAAAAGGTCATTAGCTCCAAGGAAATATCCCAAAATCTTCTTAATCAGGTACAGAACTACTATTTTTCAGTGTGTGCTCCTCAGAAACAGCTGGGATATGTTGACCTTTTGGAAAAAAGTCGTAAGGACATGCATAGAAAATGCAGGTAATCTATTCCAGTACAAGTGTTGCTAAGGCAGTAGCCCCGTTGTGCAAAACCACTTTGCTAACCTACTAGCCCACTACTGGTTATGTCCAAACAGCGGGACAGGTAAGCCCCCTGTGACATGCCCTTCAGTCCTGACTCCCTAAACATCCAGAGTGGGGGACTGGGACAGGATGTACTACAGCTGCTTTCCAGTCCCCAGTGTGTCTTTTCTTCCCATGTATACAGGCCATGGGGTGAGGAAGGAGCTTAACTGTACCCAGGTCCTTGTTCCAACATAGAGTCCAGAAGCAGTGGAGATGTGCATACAGATCCAGGAGCTAAAAACACTCCTAAGTCTTGTCATTCACGTATTGTCATTGTCTCCTTTAACATTCCCTGTTATTCCTTGTTGTATTTGCTCCTTTCTAAATTGATATTGCAGCTTCTGGAAGAAAAGTGTGTCTTCTTTCTGGTTTGTTCACCTACTGTGGGCAAGAAAAGCAATCTGGTAAAGATAACATATCTTAAGCTCTCTCCCTGAATTCTTGACTCCTAGACTGCTCAGATGTATGCCACAGCTTGTGCTGGGACCAGAGACGTGCTTCTAGAGCTGCTGAGAGCAGTGACCAGCTCCCTGGTGAAACACAAAGGGATCCCCGAGCAGGAAGGAGCAAGAACCACTGACACTAAAACATGCAGGTCCTGGCCTGTCTGAAAGTAACCAAGTTGTGATTGGTACCTGATATACACAGATGAGCTATAGCTGTTCTGGTCTGTGCTGTACAGCATTTCTGGAAGCTTTTCCAAAAGAGAGATTAAACTGCTCACATTTATTGCAATCATGATCAATTACATAACCAAGTAAATGATTCCCTAAGTAGGACAGTATTAACCACTACTCCAGTGTTTGACTGATTTTCTTTCAATAGAGAGCTACTGAATATAATGTAAAAGCACACTTGGGATTTCTTAGGCGGTATCTCTTTTCACACTTTGGCATAGTGTCTTTCAATATGAGTTGTACTTTTTCCAGGCCTGTGTTTTTCACAGAGAGTATAAATATTAGTTTTGGTTGTGCTGTCTCTTCCTCCTTCTTGAAGCTTGAAGTACCTGTGTTTCATCTACGGATAAACTAAATTCTCTCTGAGATAGCAAGGGAAGTAGAACAGAAACTTCAGGTTTACTTTCACAGGCTTTAAAAAAGCTGAAGCCTTCAATTATTTCATAAATCCTGGGCTCAGTACAGATTTCAAGATGCACCTTGCACCTTTGGAACTTTCTTTATTATGTATTTTAATAATCTGACAAAACCTCAGCACAATAAACTCAATCTGTAAAAAGGATTATTTTGTTAATAGGTATATAAATTAGTCTCCTGACCCAGTCTGACAGCTGGAAGCTGCAACAACAATAAATTACAGATAATGTTGATTTTCCATCATAATAACAAGCTAAAAAGTATACTGTTAGCAGAGCTACTAATACATTAATTCTGTCAGAATTCACAGGAGTGCATACTAGCAAATGTCATCTGTAAACACGGAAATTAAACAAAGTAGCCTAAAATACTATCATTAGAAGAATGTAAATGTAAACCATTCACGCTTTTACAGAGGTTGGGTGCATACTACAGCATGTATCCGATTTTCTCAGGATCATTCTTCGTTAATGAGCAGAAAGAGAAGTATATTGTATGGAAAAGGGAAGGGGGGAAAGGAAGAGGAAACGACTGGCCCATCACCTTGTGAAAGTGATGGAGCAATGAGTCAGACATGTCTTTTAAATGTTTTTCTTCCTCCTCTATTCCTACCCAACCCCTAACTGCAGCTTTACTACCTGACTCTCCTTTAAAAATTGCAATTACCTAAAGGGTTGCTTTAAGGGCAGCTTGTGAACGGAGCTATGAAATATAGGGATGTCACATCCCACAGACAGACCATGGACCACATGTGGCATGCACCACTTGGAGGATACACATATCCTGTTAATTTGCCCAGCAGTTACAGTCTATAGGTTTTGTAAAAGAAGTCTGGATTGACTAAACCTAGGATGTTCTGGAATAATACACATTTCGTAACAGGTAGTGAGACATCTACCCTAATAATCAAGTATTTGCATTACAAAGGACTACAAGCACACTAGGCACTCTGCTCTTTCAACTTATTATTAGTGGAGAGATTTTCAAAGGAACAGATGGCAAGAGTGTGCTAAGTTCCCAGTGAAAAATCAACAGGTATTTGATACTCAGCTACTGGGCAATCTCCCCTGAAGTCTTAACCAGTTCATTGTTTTTAAACTCATTGCAGCAGACACCTCTCTTCAAGTGACACATGTCATGAGTTTTAAATCTAAACTGTCTTCTGCAGCGAGCAATTTTCAGGAGAAAAAAAGGAAACCCTCTTTTGTCACCTACACTTAGAAATCAGAACTTAGAGAGGTCACTACATTTCTTCCATGTTAACGAACAATTGCTTTTGTTTGGTTTTATAGCACAATATCACACTGTTGTAAAGTTAAGGAAGCATAAAATTGACTGAAATTACTGCTGGTCAATCCCATCCTCTGTTCACGGACAGAAAAAAATCTCCTGTCACATAAATAGGCTGTGGCGAGTCCTAACACTGTACATACTCTACAATTAGAAATAATCAGTATCCATAATTGTCAAAGAGAACTTAGGATAAAAAATGTCCTATGAATCTGAAGATGACATTTTCTGCTACTATAAACAAGGTAAGCACTGTTAATTAACACCCACAGACAATTTGAATTGGTGGGTTGTTCAATGTCTCTTCGGACTCAATTTCTGTCACATACAAAAAATTCTGTTCAAAACTTTTCTTTGCAGTTGCATCAAACACTAAATTTGAGAAACTTCAGACTTATGAGCACCTCTGCAACCTCAGCTTACTTGCCTTCCGACTCCTTTTCATGTAATTAAAGGATCAAAGGTGCTACTGCAAATAGGAAAAAAGAAATTTTTTCATGGTCCCTACACAAATAAGTCTAGGATTATACAGTACAACTCTTATCCCCCAATTCCCACTCCCAGTACAACCTGTCAACTAGACGGTATTTCTGTCTTGTCCCCTGTATCTGAAATACTTCAGCAAAAAAATCTTACCTGCAAAAACTCTCTGACGTTTGAGCCCAAGACACGAAGAATTGTATCATAACCAGATTCTTGACAAAACACAAAAAACATCTTCCCAAACATCTGAAGGATTTCCCCGGCATTTAGATCTAGTTAAAACAGGAAAATGGGATTCAGTCCAAACACTGCACGTACTTCACTTACCACTTCAGTCTCTTTTTCATAAATAAGAAAGAGTGCCTAAACTCTACTCAGATCCAATAAATCAATAATATGAGGAAAACAAGAGTCAGGGTCAAAGTACCAAACAATGAGTGTTAAATACGAGAATTTCATTGGAGATTTACCAATTACCATTCTGATTATGCTGCATTTTGATAATCCATACCATTTTAAATTTTGGTACAGATAAGAAAGCACTACTCATGAATAAAAGAACTGTGTAGTTAACAATGCTGATTTCAGAGCAGTTATTTCCGGTTTACAATAGCGTGAAACCACATCAGTTGCTTCAATTCAACATGACTACTGCAGCCATCATGGCCTTATGGGTTCTTGGCTGACTACTGATACAGAACAAATTCATTCCGCATTTGGGAACTGTAAATCAAATAACGCTGACAGGCATAATTCTACTTTTTAAATTCCAGCCCGAGTTGCAATGACTGAAAAAAAATTAATGCTACCCAAATCGGTGACAAATATGAAATGAGATGTACCCATGCCACAAAGAACTCTGTAATGGGGCATGCTTGTTTGCAGTTTTGGCAGAGAGATCAAGGATTAAGCAGCCATAGACTGCTCTTGCAGCAGGGGTTGGAAAACATGTGTAGCGGGAGGGTAGTTTTGATGGTATATTGTTAGTTTATGACTGCTTGTAACACTGTCCACGCCCTGTGGATGAAATATATTACTGCAATCTAAGGTGTACCTGGTGATCTGGAATACTTTACAAGTAATAAAAATCATTTCAAGAAATAAAAGGAATAAAACTATTTCAGCTAAATGAAGGAAAAAAAATCCTTTCTTTGGAGGACAATGCTTCATGTTTCAGAAAACTGTACTAAATCCTGTTTCTCTGTGCTACATGGATGTGCGATTTGATTATCTTTTAGGTGATGAGCCGACAAAGTAATGCATTTTAAACTATGAAGAAATCAGATCAGGAGCTAGCCACTGAGAGTAGAAAGAATTCCTGGAGGATATTTGTATTACTTACTAAGGACCTTGCTAGCAGCTGCAACCAGATCATAGGTTTTGGAATCATCATAAATTATTCTGACAAGAAATTGTCCTTCTTCATCCAGCTGTGCTTCCTTCCTAAAAAGGAAATGAAAAAATATTTTTGATTATAGGACAAGCACCAAATCAGCTATATATCATTTGGAATTTGTCTTTAAATAAAATAAGTGTGCAGGCTCCACCTCTGAGAAGTTACTTACTGTTGAAAATTATAACTAGATCTGCTTCATATCTCATAGCAATTAAAGTACAATACGAAACCATTACTACCACTTGTGTTCCGAAAAAATAATGAAGTGGGGGAAAATAAATATGATTTTTCAGTAGAGCATCACAAAGCAGTTGCTGAATTAATAAAGATAGAATTTGTATTTTATAATATGCGAATATGCAATAACCCTGCTCAAGATGGGCTTTATTTCAAAGTAAGTGTCTTCATTCTTTCCAATTTTGATTACATTTTATTTATAGAAGGCATGAGATGTTTTTAACAACCATTTGTTCATATCTTCAAAGAGAAAATCTAAAATCAAGATGTAGGTACCTAATCAAATGGCCTAATCAAATACCTCTTTTTCAGAATTCTGCACAATCCTGGTAGATTAAAACAAAAAACAACAACAACAACAACAACAAATCAAGCCACACTGCAAGGATTTTTGTAATGCCTTGTTCACATGTCAGTTTTTCATAAGTAAAGTGTTATCAGTTGTTTAATGCATGATAAGAATACACATTTTTTCACTAAAGAAAACAATTCTCAACTTCAGGTTTAAAACAAGACCATGCATGTATACAAGCCTTTTATTAGACACAAGTGAAACCTTCCTAGTTATTCGCAAGTGTCTTCCTCCCTGTACTGCTCCATGCGCTTAACGCTGGCACCAGGCTGCTGCTGCTGCACAGCAATGGCAGAGTCCCTGCTCTCTGTACAAGGACAATGAGCACCTCTGTGGGAGGGCAGTCCCATGGACCCTCAAGTGCTAGCTGCTCCCCACTGCTGGCCCACTGCATGCAGAGCATGCCAAAGGAGGTACTCCCCACTCTGCCCTTTGGCAAGGGCCAGTTACATGCTGAATTTGCTAAGCGTCTTAGGGCACATCCTCTTCCACTGGCGAGATGTGGATGCTCTGGGGGGATGCCCTGGTCTCTGATGCAGTTGTGCTCTGTTTGCTGAAGTCCTCATAAGGCTGCCCAGGCAAAAAAGCCGCATTTCCTCTGCCATGTGTAGCAGCAGCAACTTGAGTTTGCCTTTCTCGTGTCCTGTGCATAGCCCTATTTCCTTTCTCAGTATATTTATTTTTAGAGTAGTTGTTCACTTTCTGTGGTCTTGCCTATGATGACTCCCCATAGAGAGACGATGTCTTTTGCAGGACCAGTGAAAAAGAGGAAATATTTACACAGACTCATTCTCCAATTCATGCACCTAGAAGGTATTTTGGCTCAGCAAAACTATGAACATGGCACCCATAGTATCTTTGCAGGTGAGGGTCACAGCAACCTCATTAAATAGAAAAGATATCCTTTCATCTAAACACAGCTCCGCGCTATAGATCGCTTCAGAAAGACAGAAGACAAAGAGGCAGGAAAGTCTAGAAGACAGTGACTGAATCACATTATCTTATGTTAAAAAATAAAACAACAAAAACAAACAAAAAATCACCTAATACACAAAGTTCTTCTTTACAAAAAGATTTAGAATTAGAAAAAGTATCAGAAAGGCAGAGGGCGAAGTAGATTTTTATAAAAACTCAACTTGTGTCATATGAACTAAAACACCTAGCAACCAGCTCAGGACTAGAATCATCATCTTTCTAATGTACAAATGAAAGAGGATCACAATTAAAAAATTATCTACTAGCAGCATGGTAATGAAGGGCTTTTACCAGAGTAGGACAGAAGCGCTACTTGAGACATAGCTGAAACAAACTGTTTAAGAGCTGGTATTTCTAAGTGCTCCAAATTTCTAATGATCATCAAAGGAATTACAAAGCTTTAAAAAGTAGATTCTAAATCTACTATTTAAAATCCTCCATTCCCTTTCCATCAGTATCTTTGTCTCTAACATCGTAACATCATCAATCATCAATCAAAATAAAACTCTAACTGAAACTTAGATTCTAATTTTCTAGAACTGGCATAACCTGCTTTAAAATTAAATACTACAAAATAATAATGCCTACACAACAAGTAGCAATTCAAGCAATTACCTTTACACTGGAATTATCCAGTCATACAAACACAGAAACATTTCTTGTTTTACTTAACGGGGAGAGAGCTCTGAGAATTAAGTATTCTTGTTCATCTTAAAACTGCTAAATGACAAATGGTAGTCCTGATAAGGCCTGATTCCAATCTTATATGGTATTATTCTATTGACCTAAATGAAATTGCTCCTCATTTTACCCTATAATTAGTAAATCAATCTTTGTCAATCTGGCCGCTTAGCAATGGAAGTATTGAACCCGTTCTTTTCTTCTTCCTCTTCAACTTGATGATGTCTGTTCATCACATGCTTATCACTGACCAGCAAACATGCTACATTGTATTTCAAAAATATGTATTTTTAAAATTAATTAGTGAAGCCTCCTAACTGCTACATGGCATGCACATTTATATACCTACTCTATGAACAGACATAACGAGCTAAAAACAAGTTAGGCAATCTTCCCAAAGCAATATAAGGCTATAGAAGAGGTGAGACTAAATGTCCTATAGAATTCCATATAAAAGAAACATTCTCTATCAAATGGCACAAAGAATATTAATATACTTGATTTTTTTTTCTGGAATTCTCAGGGAGCTCAGGGATCCCAAAAGAGATCAAAGAACAGACAGTGGTAAGCAGGGCAAACTGGCTGCAAGACTGTTCTCAAAGAGATTAAAAAAAAAAAGTACATCTTTTTTGTAAATGATTATGTTACAATGATTTCAGCGATTACCTGAGAAATAGTATATTTATAAAAAAGCAAGCAGAAATGATATGTGTACACACAGTCCCTTAACATACTCCTATTTTCATATTCAAGAATAGTACTGCTGGTCCTCTTTCTCCAGCCATTCTCTAAAAAATTCAAATCAGCCTGCAGGACATCAAACCTCACTGATTCCTGAAAACAGCTCCCATGCCACATATTCCTTCTTCTCCAAAGCAGGAGAAGAGCTGGACTTGTTAGAGAGAAATGTTGTCTTGAAGCATATGAGGTCAGTCAGGAATTGTAAACGCCAACGTCCCTAAGAACTGGACTGAAATTAATATGAGAAAAGAAAACCATCTTGATTCTTAGGACATGGTATGTAACTAAGTCAGATTTAGTTTAGAGGAAAAGCTTGCAAAGGGTGAACAAACTTTCCCACATCTCTCTGAGATACACTGTGCTTTCTCTTAGTCTCTCTGTCTTCTCAGCCAAACCACAAAGGATAACACACACATCTGGAAATGCAATGAACATCCTCAAAATACTGGATACTTGCACAGTCCAGTAGACATTTTTGTGTGTGTGTGAATTTTCTCTATTAGAAGTTGAAACAGTTTGATCACTTTGGTACCTCCTTCAAAACTTCTTACATTTCCTCCAACTACTTTGACCCAAACTCTTCCTGCTTCCCTCTCTGTGCCAAGCCACGCTTTTTCCTTTTTTTTAGTTGCCTTTAGTGCACTTTGTCAAAGCTTTCCTTCAATGTCTGCAGCTTCTGTAAGCCAACACTTTCTAAAATCACCGTTGGTTATTTCTATGCCTGCTCCATTTAAATTATTTCAGCCATTTTATTTTTTCTCCAGTTTTCTCTATATGCTTTGGATTACCTGGCAATCATCTACACTTCTCTGTAGCCTTAATGATGTGTTCTCCATTAAAATAACTTTATTTATAAAAATAAATTTAAACAAAAAATAGTTCAAATAACAATCAAGTTTTCATTCCTTGGATACAATTTCGTGGGCTGAAGCTCACCTCCTTCTAGGCTTCACTCTCACTAAGCATCAGCATCAGTCTTGCTGGGTGTTCTAGCAGTATAGGAAAAGGATCCAGCGTTTGTACTGGAGGTTAATCACCCAACAGAGATTTTTTAGTTACTTTTACTTAAAAGAAATAGAGAAAAATATTTTTAAAAATTTGTAATCCAAAAGAAATCAAGCTCATTTTGGGAAATTTCTTTTTAGAAAATTCACCAAATAAAGATTTGCTCCTGCAGGGGACTAAACTTTTCACTCAAAATCATGTGGGTAAAAAAAAAATTTTGCTCATCCTACAATTATGGCAAATCCTTATGACAATGCCTGACCTAAACCTGCAGTAAAAGATAAAAAGTTTTCTTAAAAGTGAGCACTTGAAAATTATTAGATCCTAGAACTTTTTTTTTCTTCCCGGAACCATTTTCTATGCTTCTCACCCATTTTGTGCTGGGACACCCCAATCATTTCACTACATGCTGAGCTGAAAATATTATTCAGCCAAAGAGTTCTTTTTCTGGCTTATTTTTCTGCTGGATGGATTTCCCAGTCAGGCTCGTCACCTGGTCACAGAAGCTGCTGAACAACGTGCAGAACAACACATAGCTAGCTAGATGGCTGAGAACTTGACAGCAGGTTCGGTGAAGTTAGTGGAAGGCTTTCCTCTGTCGCCAGCGAGCTGGGACTGCAGCTTCTGAAGCCTTTTTGGCACCCTTCGTTACCTGATGGCAGTGAGAACTTACAAAAATCTTTCTCACTGAAACACTTGGTTAGCCTGAAGACTACATGTGATTGGGAAATGCTTCCGTAAGTTCATCCAAAATGGCCAATGTAATGTGAAAACACTCTTTATTTTTACAAAGGCATTTGTGCCTCCACAAATCCAACGACTTGCAGGTCCTCTAATGAACTTGTCTGAAAGCGCTTTATGTCAGTAATGCCTCTTCCTGCACGCTTCAATACAATACAAACTGCATTAGACCTCCTACAAACCTAAGTGCTGTAGTTGCCCTTCCCCTGTGGGTACACCTAAAGTCTAAATGATAACAACAGTCCGGAAGCGGCTAGAGGAACAACATAACAACTATCAGCACGAGAGGCTGACCGTGATGTGAACACCAGTAGT